TCCTCGCTCCCGTTCCCTTTCCCCTTGCCTCCTTCCCCTTCCCCTTCCCCTCTCTCCACATGAAACCATGAAATGTGTCTGACTCCATTATTTCAATCTCCTCTTTTATCTCTCATGCTCTCATTGACTTTACTATAATCTGTATATGTATTTTAACCATACTATTGCACCTATTGAACCCGCGATTAGTTGTGGGGGACTGGCCTTCCCCCCACAAGGTAAGCATTGGGCTGCTGATGACAAGATTCACTGATTCAAACACACAGCCACTCCTGGGGAGAAAGACCGGGACACCTGTAAAGTATTACAAAGCCTTAAAAGCCTCTATAGCATCACTGCAAGTTGGAATTGACTTACCGGCCATGAAATGATTGTGTTGCGTCGTGTTGTATGTAGTGTGGTGTGGTTGGCTGGCTACTGGCAGACTGTTAGACTTAGGAAGGTGTATTCCAGTAGTCTGACATCGAATAGGTCTTTTTATCAGTGGTGCTATACTCTTCATCATCACCGTGAACTGAAAAACAAAAAACTCGCTCTCATCAAGTTGATTCCAACATATAGGAACCCTATCAGACAAGGTAGAACTGCCTTCAGAGTTTCTGAAGCTGAAACTGTTTGCAGATAGAAAGCCCCATCTTTCTTCTGAGGACTGCTTGGTTGTTCCTAATTGCTGCTCTTGCAGGTAGCAGCCCTCCTTGTAGCCACGATGTCACCAGGTCTCCTCTCATCACTGCAGGAATTGTACCACTGACACACCAAGGTTGTAATATGCCATTGCTCTACTGGACATGAAACTCAAAGAATGAGTTGCTCAAGCTACCTTTTCTGAAAATTCGATTTCTTTAAACCTTTGGCTATTTAAAAAATCTTTCCGAATCACTGAGCTCTCTAAAGAAATATCTATACGGTACCAAATTGACAATAACAACTGGACAGAATAGAGAGACACCTTGGGGGCAATGAAATGATATTAATGGTGGAGCGACAACTCAGAAAAGGAGGGTAAGAATGGTTACATGCCTCACAGAATGCCATCCGTGTCCCTCCTTGATATAGGTAGAAATTGCTGGACCGGGGTGTTTTGCTGGGTGTATTCTCAATAAAACTCCCTGTCGTTGAGTTGATATTGATTCATAGTGACCCTCTGTGACAGGTAGAACTGCCCTGAGGGGTTTCCAAGACTGTAAATCTTCACAGGTATAGAAAGCCCCTTCTCTCCCATGGAGCAGCTGGTGGGATTCAAACAGCTCATCTTGCCATTAACAGCCCAGCTCATAGCCCACTGCTCCACCAGTGACTCTCAAAAACAATGACAACATAAGTAAATATTTTTCCAATATTTCAAAAATGTAACTTACTGCTTTAACACAATAATGATGTCTATCATTGATGAAATGCCTGCTATGGCCCAGGTATTGTACATGGTCCTTTACACAATTTAGTTCTCACACCAAACCTATCATTTGCCTTTTTTTATCTGCTCTTTTCAAATGAGGCCACCTAAGGTCCAGATGTTTGCGGTTCCTTGTCTAAGCCCCTCAAGCTCGTCAGTGACAAAACAAAGATTTTAATTCCAATACATCTGCGTCCAGAATATCTCCCTGTGTTTACACAGCCTTGAATAGACCTTTCTCTAGAGAAATTCATTTTCTAGTAAGGAAGAATACAAGTATAATTTTTTTTAAAAACTCCAGGTGATAGTTAGAGAGCAAGCACGGGGGTAGTCTAAAGGTGGAGAAATCATGTCCAGTTAGTGGAAAATTAGTCATGGGAGGCTGCATAAAGATTTAAAGTTAGGCAGGAAATTAGAGATTGAGTTTATAGAAATGGAAATGGCAATGGCCCAGGGAAAGACTTAGAGGCGGGACAACTAAGGGCAGGTGTGAACAATGGCAAAGGCTCTCTGAGCTCCTTGCTCCCATCTGTCCAGTGGGTGTGCTTCTGGATGGGTTAGAGAGAGAAATGGGAGATAGCAAGAAAGCCAGCCTCAGTTGTACAGCCTCTTCGTCAACATTCCCTTGAGTGCTAGTTGCTAACACCTGGAAGGATGGAACATCTCTGATCCGATCTAGTAGGGCAGGAAAGAGGTGACCTCTGGGAAGCCACAGTTCACGTCCAAGGACACACCTTCAACAGAAGGAGCCATGCTCCCCAGGACTGTCTTTAACAAGAAAATCGGGGAGTTGCATGTAAACACCCACTTCACTCAGCACAGAGAGCTAAGTGCAAGGAATAAAGGGGCCGTTTTAAGGGAAAGCCCTTTCTGAGCTCTGTATCAGACAAAATACCACGAAAAGGCTCTACAAACAATGGCTAACTGGTGGACAGAAGTAAGACAGGCCTGCCCAGGCCTGGCAAAATTAGCCCTTTAAGGAAAAAAATCATTTTTTAAATGCCAAGAAGACAATTTCATATTGCATAAAACTGTACAGAAAGTAAAATGATTCTCTATAAAAGACAGTGCAATGAAAAAGAAAGCCAGTGGTAACTAGCAGTGGTATCA